CAGTGACAAAATTCAAAACTAATTCATATAAATCTTAAAAAACTAAGAACACTCAAATTGATAAAGCACATCTATGAAAAACCAACTAATATTTTCGTATTGATTAAAGATGTCATGGTCCCCCTTTGAGATCAGGAATAAGTCAAGAATGCTCACTTTCAAACAAATGACTTGTATCCGGATTATATACAGAACTCTTAAAATAGTCAATAACACTTGAAACAATGCTCAACATTATTCATCATCAAAGGAATGCGAAATAAAATCATAGTACATTCCGCATCCATTAGAATAGCTAAAATTATAAACAAAAAACAACCTGACCATACCAAATGCTAGTGAATTGCAGAGCCACTGGAACTCTTACACACACTGTTGATGAGAATGTAAAGTGATATGTCAGTTTGAAAAACAGTTTGGTAGTTTCTTCATATTAAATAATTACTCCCAAATATTTACCCAAGAGAAACAAAAACATATGCCTACACAAAGACATATATACAATGAGTACAGTAATTTTATTTTCAATAGCTAAAAACAAGAAAGAATATAAAAATCCATCAAGAGGTAAATGAAAAAAACAAACTGTGGTATATTAATACATGGAATACTATTCAACAATAATAAAGAATAAACAATTGAAATCACAACAGTCTGTGATTTTAGATGAATCTCAAAATCTTTATGAGTAAATGAAGTGAGACAAAAGAAACTATGTGCTCTATAATTCCATTTTTATAAAAGCCCAGAAAATGTAAACTAATCTACAATGAGTGAAAGTAAATCAGTGGTTGCCTGAAGATGATGATGGAAAAACAGATTAAAAAGAGACATGAGGAAACTTTTAAGATTAAATGTTACTGCACGTGGTGATAGTTTCACAATTATGTCAAACTGATCAAATTATACATTTTTATGTAGGTATTTTATTTCACTTCCTTTATATCTCAATAAAGTTGAAAGAAAAAGAAACCAAAAGTGAGAGGCAGCACAGCACTGTGGTTAATGGCATGGATTCTGCAATCAAACTGCCTGGGTTCAAATACCAGCTCAAACACTGTTGTGTGACCTTGGGTAAGTTATTTAATAGTGTGCTTCACAGTTTCCTCATCTATAAAATGAAAATAAACAACAATACTTACCTCATAAGTGTTGTTCTAAAGATAAATGAGTTAGCACATATAAAGTACTCAGAACACTACCACCAAACAGTAAATGCTAGCAAAAATTTGCTATTATTAGGACTTATGGTCAAGATGGAGGAGTAGGTGAACATGGTGCTGGTCTCCTCCCAAAACCACATCAAAATTACAACTAAATTACAGAACAACAGCCCTTAAGAACCACCTGAACACTAGCGGAACAGAACCCTTATAACTAAAGATATAAAGAAGCCACATTGAGACTGAAAGGAGGGTGAAGATGTGAAATGGGTTGGTCCCACAGCCACATGTGGTGGTTAAGAAATCAGGAGGGACATTTCAGCTGTGGAAGTCCCCACTGAGGAGTGAGGGGTCCCAGTCCCATGGTCTGGAGCACCAGTGCCAAGAAGAGGAGTTTCCACAACAGCTGGCTATAAAAATCACCTGGGACGTGCAGTCCAGGTGAGATGCCTGTAGAGCCAGGCATCCTCCTAAAGGGCCCAAGCTCAGACTCACTCACAAACATTCACCTTAAACTTCAGAGACAAGACAGCAGCTTGAAATCACCAGGGAGACATGGGGAGGAACTAAATTATCTGGCTTTAAAGGTAGGGCTTTCCTGCTCTGTGGGGTCAGCCTCCATACAATAGCTTGTCCACTGTAGTCATGGCCAACCCTAACAGCCAGTCAGCTTGAGGGGTAAATCCCACCTACTGATGTGCCAACAGCAATCAAGGCTCAACTACAACAGGAGAGCACACACAAACCACACAAGGGACACTCCTGGAGCAGCTCAGGTGAACAGTAAGTCTGTGCCACTGGGCGACAAAAGATACCTACTATATAAGGCCACTCTCTGCCAAGACCGGGACACATAACAGATCTATGTAAAACATAGAAACAAACACAAGGAGGCAGCCAAGATGATGAGACAAAGAAACATGTCCCAAATAAAAGAAAAGGACAAAAATCCAGAAAAAGAACTAAAGAAGATTGAGACAAGCATTCTACCAGATGCAGAGTTCAAAACACTGGTTATAAGGCTATTCAATGAATTTAGGGGGTAAAAAATAGATGATTTCAGTGAGAACTTCAACAAAAAGAAAAGAACATAAAGAACCAGTCAGAAATGAATAAATGAAATGAAGAATACATTAGATGAAATCAGCAGATTAGATGAAGCAGAGGATTGAATCAGTGATTTGGCAGACAAGGAAGCAGAAAAAATCCAATTCGAACAGCAAAAACAAAAAAAAAATTTTTTTTTAAATGAGGATAGTTTAAAGGATCTGTGGGACAATATCAAGCATAAAAACATTTGCAAAAACAGATTTTTGAAGCTCTAAGAGGGGTTCTTAGCTATTAGCAGGAGGTCACAAGGCTATTTGAATATCTTCATTACATAGTAGCTAACTTCCAAAGGAAGGAAGGAAGTCACAATGCCTTCCATGAACCTATTTCCGAAGTAATATGTTGTCACTTCTACCACAATCTAACCATTAGAGTTTAGTCATGCTATCCTTCAGGAGAGGAATATCAAATAACATATTTTTAAAATACCATAGACATCATCAAAAGGAACGCAGCATGACCTAATACTGGAACTGAACAACCCTAATAATAGTTCACATGGCATTCAACAGATGTGGAGCATTGTTGTGTTTCTCTTGAAAACTTAAAATGTCATGCAGATCCCCTGTGAGTTTGCTGTAGCACCTTAGTGTGCCTCAGCACAGCGCGAGGAATCTATGCTATTGTCACTGCAAAAGGCAACCTCCCAGGTGGTGCTTTAGTGCACAGCTTTCCTAACCAGAATGGAAGAAGGATGCTTTCTGTTCTTGGGCATGAACCCAGGACACATTCCAGGAAAGCTGAATGACTCACCATAAACTCTTATGCCAGAGAACCAGAAGATCTTTGCTGGAGAAAGCATTCAAGAAATTCTAGCTTCAAAACAGCTATTCTAATGAACTGGAACCTCTCACAATGTTAGCTGCTATTGCTAAAGTGCTATAGAGAGGCAAAAAACAAACCATTTTGCCTGAAACAAAGTGTTTTATTTCACAAAAGGCTCTCCTCCTGGTCTTAAGATTTGTTATACTGTGTTGAGCTAACAGTTATATTTTCTTCCCAGTTGATGAAATTTACATCTTCACACTTAATAAGAAATAAAAAACAAATATATGCCTTTTCTCTTTATACTCTGAAATAATTTCAGACTTACAGAAAAGTTGTAGAGTTCCATTATACATACCCTTTACTCTTCCTTCTTTCTCTAACATTAACATCTCATAACCATAGTACAATTATCAAAACCAGGTATTTAGGACCGATACAATACTATTAACTGATCAGAGACCTTTACAAATTTTGCCAATTTTCCCAATGTCCTTTCCATGGTCCAGAATCCAACTGAAGATTCCACAATGCATTTAGTTGTCGTGGCTCCTTAGTTTCCTCCAATCTTTAAGAATTTAAGCCTTATCTTTCATGACCTTAATGTCTTTGAGTAACAGGGCCAGTTATTTTGAGGAACTGTTCTTCAATTTGGGTTTGTCTGCTACTTTCTCATAATTAGCTTAAGGTTATGCATTTATGGTCAAGAATCCTACAAAAGTGACTGTGCCTTTGTCAGTGCATCACATCAGGCAAAAACTTTTTACTTTTTTGAACAAGGTATGATATATGATTTATATAAAACATATATCCAAATGTTTTAAATACTTTATAATGCCTATTGTATCTTTGTCAACATATGCTAAAATTCTTTAATAATGAAAGAATTAAAGTTGTGTATTTTGAATTTTAAGAAATAACCAATTATATGAGAACTTCAAAAGAAAATATGGAGCTTAGAAAGTCAACCATTCTAAGATATAAGTTCCATGCAAATAGGAATTTAATTCCATTCACTGCTGTATCCCAAACATCTTGAAAAGTGCCTGCCACTCAACATTTGTGATATCAGCATTTGTGATATTAATGGAATAATTTTGAGAACGAAATACCAATAAAGCCATAAAATGATTAGATCAAGTCCATTAGTGTGGAAAGAGTTCAACCATTTAAAACATAGCTTTTACGCTATTTATACACTTGTTTACAAGAGCCTATTTCCAATTTTCCTCAAACTGCTGGCCAGCCAAGCAGTATCAGTGCTTCCACGTATTGCATAACACACAGGCTTCTTGGGAAGTTTCAGCTGCTGCAAGTCCAGATTTAGGCAATCATACCTACACCCACCCAGGCATTTCAGCA